GGGCTTGGATTGTGAAAGATGCACCTTAAGTAGTCTTATGAGATGTCTTAAGGTAGGAATGGGTAACTACTAAGCTACGTTAGGAGTAGGCCTCAAAGGCTACCCATAATAGAGGAACTCTAAGCATAGAATTTGCTTAGTGAACTAGTATCGTGACTAGAGGAAGCCTCTAGCACGAAGAGGAATGACCGGAGGGAGCCTCCAGCATTCATGTAGGGCGACTAGAGGAAGCCTCTAGCGTAATATAAGATGACTAGAGTAAACCTTTAGCATAATGTTATGTGACTGGAGGAAGCCTCCAGCACACGTATGTAAGGTGATTAGAGGAAGCCTCTAACACCAAGTGGAGTGACTAGAGTAAGCCTCTAGCACGACAAAGCATGACTAGAGGAAGCCTCTAGCATAACAAAGTAATATAGATGAGCATGGCTTGAAGCCACGGGGGAATGGAGTTGATAAAGAACTACCATATAGTATTGTCTGACTAGCTTGAGGGCATTAATAGCCCAATTGGGAGTATCTAGCGATGGTGCCTTATTGACCCGATTTGAGTATGACTTACCTTACTTGATGAGATCAAGAAGGGTCAAGAAACTCATAAAGAACTTACGAAGGACCGAGAACGCATGTTAGCGGGATCAATGGAGGAGTTCAAGGAGAGACGACAGTCTCCCCACGATACATCGCCCATTTGTAATTCTCGAGAGAGTTGGGGTTATAGCATACAGATTGCAGTTGACTCCAGAAGTGGAGAGGATACGTAACGTGTTCCGCGTGTCTATAATAAAGGAATATATGTCGAATCCGTCGTACGTGTTGGGGGGAACACCCATGGAAATACGAGGAGACTTGAACTGTGTCTTACGACCGGTAGGGATACTTAATAGGCGAGCAAAGGAGCTAAGAAGCAAGAGTGTCCCAATGGTCAAAATCCCTTGGAAAGGTGACCGAGTTGAGGAAGAAAAAATTAGGAAAAATGGAAGCCTTAATGAAGGAACAGTTTGCATTTCTATTTGACCGGGCATTTGTGAATTTCGGGGACGAAATTCCCGTTAAGGGGGGGTGAACTTGTGACACCGCACCCGAATGTACTTGAAATTTAAAAGACGATATGTATTTGCATTTCCTAACGAATAAAATTCGTGGAATTGATTGGCATATTTAACTAATGTGTGATTGATTAAATTATTTATCGGGTCCATCATACGAGAATGGACTACCAAATATTTAGTTGGGTTATCATAATAATTATAGGAGTCCAATAAAACGCCAACCGAAGTTGATAAAAATATTTGGACAACCCGAGTGCTATTTCGGCCCGACCTACCGAAAATGACAGGAATAATTGGGAGGGACTTCCTACACCCACTTGGTGTACTCTATACACTAAAATGACTCAAAAATAAGGGAGGAGGAGCCACACATGTTGACTTGTGCGTGCAAGAGGGAGGAAACACCATGGAGACAAGTCTATTCATCCCATGTCCTCTACTTGGACTTGTCTTGGGATTGATTGGGGAGATAAGGCTACTCCTCTCCCATCCTACCATTGCCCATTCGAACCACAAGAAGAGGGAAGCTCCAGGAAACTCTCCCCACTGATTCTGAACGTGAAGAAGCACAAGAAAGAAGAAAATCCAAGGAGAAAGAAGGTTGTTCTTGAGGTAAGAATACACCTCTATTATTTAACTAGTATTGTTTGTATGATTTTTAAGAAATCATATGGTGGATCGAACATGGAGTTCTACACGTTTAAAAGTGTGGAATAATGTTATATAGGGGTGGTATTTAACTTAGGAGAGTCGTGGAACCAATAGGAGTTGAAACCACCGGAAACCGCCAAGGAGAAGAAACTGTTCGTAGTTGCAGACTACGAAAGCCGCCCGGCTTTTGGTGAAAGCCGCCCGGCTTTTGGGCTACTGTCCAGGAATTTCGCTTTTGATCGGTTTAGAACGGGGATCGATCGAAGGGCTTATCAAAGGCAACTAATCCAGCACTTCATAAGGTGAGGATGGCTGACTATGTTGTTTATAATCTTTGGGTTAATTTCATAAGATTACCTAAAGTATTTAAATGTGATTTTCATGGATTATTAATGAGTAATAATGCCTAAATGAAAATACAATTGCTTATGAGTAATTGAAGTATTATATGCGAATTGCGAAGGAAGTGTGTATGGATACGTGATTATGAATATGATGGAATGATAGTTGAGTGAACTAAGAATATGGAGATAAAATATACTTTGCGTCATGTAGAGAATTCATGAATGGGTAAAAGTGATATTTTGATATTGGGAAGTAATTATATTTGAATTGGAAGATAAATTGAAATACACTATGTGTCTATGGGTTAAGAACTTGGTTGTTCAAAATTTATTCAACTAGTATTGAAATACTAGCCGAGATGTTAATATGAGAAACAATAGATTAATCCAATGAGTTGGGTTGTGAGGAAATTATACCTTGAGTAGTCCTAAGAGATACTTTAAGGTCGAGACGTGTAAGCTCTAAGTATAATAGGAGTAGGCCCTAAAGGCTACTCAATCTAAACCGATTCTAGGCATAGGAATTGCTTAGGGATTGATTAACGCGACTACGAGCGGGGCTCTAGCATGTCGAAATGATGACTAAGAGCGGGGCTCTAGCATGTAGGGATGGTGACTAAGAGCGGGGCTCTAGCATAATGTAGATGGACTAAGAGCGGGGCTCTAGCCAATGTAAGTTAACTAAGAGCGGGGCTCTAGTATAATGTAGATGGACTAAGAGCGGGGCTCTAGCCAATGTAAATTAACTAAGAGCGGGGCTCTAGTATGATGTAAACGGACTAAGAGCGGGGCTCTAGCCAATGTAGACAAATTAGGAGCGGGGCTCTAGTATGATGTAGGGAGACTAGGAGCAAGGCTCTAGCACGATGTAGTGAGACTAAGAGCATGGCTCTAGCATGACCCAATAGTATAACCGGGCGAGGCTCGGTGATGTTTATGCCATGTAATAGGGAAATGCCCAAATGACTATGAGTAAATTTACCAGAGGTTTATGACATTCGTGACAAATGGTCACGGGGGAAAAGGGGGATGGACTTTCAAAATGCATACGGGTCTTCGGGCCGACTACTTGACTTTATATAAAGTAAGTATATTTTCAAAGAGGGTAACCACGGGTTACGACCTATATTATTATATCACCCTATTTGAGGGTCTTGGAAATTGAAACATTGATTATACTTAGTATAGTTGTCATTGTACTTGTCAAATGCTTCCAAGTACTGACCTCCCCTTCACGGGGGAGGCCACCTCACAGTTTCAGGTAGGAGTTGAGCTTGCTACCGGTGCCCGTTGTTTCGGGAAGATTCAGGAGGGAAGACGTGGTTCGTGCTTCCTCCGCCTCTGTTTTTTTTTAAACATTTAAAATCGATGCTCATGGATATTATTTTGAATAATTATTTGGGGCTTGTATGCCCATGTTTGTCGAAGTGTGGCGTAAACACTTGTATTAAACGTTTCCGCTGATTTAAATGATTATTTTACATTATGTTTGTTTATGGATGTACTATTGTGAATGATATTCAAGACGCCTAGTATAGTATGGATGAGTTGGACTGCGGTTGACTATTCGTACTGTACGGCGGGTTGTTGATGTCACGCCCCGGACCTATCCGGGCACGTCAACAACCCGCCGTACAATACGAATAGTCAACCGCAGTCCAACACATTCATATTATACAAGGCGTCTTGAATATCATTCACACATATACATCCATAAACAAACATAATAAGTAATTCATAACGCAGCGGAAAACATTGTTTAAAACAAAAGGGCCACACATGGCTACTCATGAGCACGCAGGCTCTATAGTAAAATATCCATGAGCATGTTTATTAATGTTTAAAAACAGAATGGAGGAAGCACGAACCAAGTCTTCCCTCCTAGATGAATCTCTCGAGCAACGAGCACAGGAAGCAAGCTCTAGCCTCAACCTGAAAAATGGTGGTGGGACGCCCCCGAAGGGGTCAGCACTCTATAGGGCTATAAAGTGCTGGTGTGGATGGCATCTAATAGATGTACAACAAGTATTTCAAACACAAGACCCTCAAATAGGGTGATAATATAATCTAGGCCGTAACCCCAAGTTACCCCGTTTTAAAATATACTTACTTTATATATAAAGTCAAGTAGTCGGCCCGTAGGCCCAAGGTTTGTTTATCAAACATACCCCAAAATCCCGTGACCCCTAGTCACAACAATACATAGGGTCCAACCCTAACACATATGTTTGCATTCTCGAGTCCAACTCGACTACATCACCATGCACCTTTATTAACATAAGCTAACTACTCCACCGTGCATTCTCGAGTCCAACTCGACTACATCCCCATGCACACAATCACCTCATCATGTCTACCCAATGCAATTCTATGAGCACGGGCTCAAGTACATCTCCTTACATTGGCATAGACCCCAATTCCTAAGCACTCACTAGGCCTAGAATTGTAATATCAATAATCTATCTTGGGACATCCCTACGGACTGCCCAACCATGGTCTTAGCATCACATTACATCAATTTAGTCACTTGCATCACAATCAAGTTCATCAATTACAATCAAATCCTTAGATTCAATTCTTCAACAATTTCAACAATCATTAACTAGTATTTCAATACTATTAAGATTATTCTTATCAATCATATATTCCATTTGTAAAACCCTACATATTTAGAGATATGTAGCAGCAACTTAATCATTCAATGTAATACATAAATAATCATTTATGTATCTACACAATTCACACATGAGTAAAATGCCTATTTCACACAATAGTTCATTTAACTCCATTTTCATCAATACTTTACCAAATCATTTCTTATTTCATTCTTTGGAAAATAGATCAATATTCCATCAATAGGTTATCATCATAATCCATGGAAAACATTATTTAAGCATTTAGGTAATCTCATGCTTAACCTACAAGTTGTAAGCAACTAGATGTCGATCCTCACCTCAAATGAGCTTTAAAACCTTCCTTCTCGATCCAATGGCTAAAGCCTCGGCCAAGGAAGATTGGGAACTAGTTCCTTGCTTGAAAATGGGTGCTAAACAGCCTCCTCAAGTTGCTATTTCAACCCCGAATCGTTGATACTAAAACAGCCCCTAGAACGGGTGTTTTCCGGCTAACTCGATTCCTAGTTTTCCAATGTTTGCATCTAGGTTAGTATCTAACCTTTACATCAATAAAATAACTTAATAGGGATGTTTTATACACTTGGAGTAGTGTATAATAGTCCCACCAATCGTTCATATCATTTGGAAAATGAATGGAAAGGTTTTGGGATTAACAACTCACTTAGAAGAGTAAATCCGTCCCTGCGAGGTCTCGTTCTGCTCGGACGATTTGGAAGCCTTCCTCTACTCCGATTGATGCAAACCAGACCTTCACGGATTCCTCGTCTTGAGAGCTTTCTTTTGGTATCTCACACGCCTTAATTGGATTGGTAAAACTCGAGATATCGGCCAAACAGTCTCAGCACTCTCACAGCTCGAGTTCACAGACCTCTGCTCGTTCCAGATCGATTTTTGGATGATTGACTTCTCCTCTCGAACTGAGACCACTCAATTATAAAAATAGACTTCAAAAGCTATCCAAGGACACCTCATACACGTTATTTGGTTGAGGATAGCTCCTATAATGAGAGGAGACAAACAGCACACCAATTTGTGCGAAAATAAGAGTGGTGGCCCCAAACTTTGATTCTTATCAAGTCATGTGCAGCTCTTCTCCATAATGGCCGGCCAAGGTAAGTCTCCTAACCCATTTTTATTTGTCTTGCAGGTACTAATATCATGTGGAGTGGTTCCCAATTGATCCCAATCATTTTGGGATCCAAATTATCTACCAATACTTCCAAAAATGGGGAAAATGGGTCCTATTGCTTTATCTTTGTCAAAAGATGTCTTTTTGTACTCATCCTAATTTATTTAGAACAAGTCAACTTCTCAAATCACATTATTGATCTCCAATATGTGTAGGCTCATCCCAATAATTTACTTGATAGATATTATAGAAGGAAAATCCTACTCCCATTATTTAGCTCAATAAGGCCAAAGGTGGGGTTATAGGCATTTGTATTCTTCTTTAATCATCCTATCACTTATTTGACATTTGTCATACATATTATTGGGCTACTAGCCGTGTGGGTCACTCCCGAGTGGGTCTAGAACGCCATTCTCGAATACTTGCTATTTTAGCAGGTTGGGCTCAAAATAACGTTTGGGCCGTCCGACCTTACTCGGATTGTCTTGAAAGATTATGTATCACTATTTGGAAAATGTTGGGCTCTTTTATTTATTAATAAGACCCAAGTGGTATTTGCATGCCCGACACTAATATACGAGTTCGAACAGTACACAAATCGATCATTAATTACGTAAAACATTAATCGTTTTACAAATGTTTGGGAACCAGAAATCCAATACATAAACTTTGAATTTTAAATCAAATTTTCAAGGACGTTCGGGAGCGGTGTCACAAGTTCACCCCCCCTTAACAGGAATTTCGTCCCCGAAATTCACGGCTCTACTCGAATAGGAATGCATACTGCTTCCTCATCAAAGCTTCTGTTTCCCAAGTCTCTTCTTCGACCCGGTCACTCTTCCAAAGGACTTTAACCATTGGAACTTCTTTACTCCTGAGTTTCTTCACTTTTCTGTCAATAACTCTTACCGGTTGCACGGCATAGTTCAAATCTTCACGTACCTCCACGGGCGGCTTCTCCAACACATGAGAAGGATCATGCACATACTTCTTAAGCATGGACACGTGAAATACATTGTGAATCTTCTCCAACTCAGGAGTCAACTGTAGACGATATGCTACGGCCCCAACCCTCTCTATAATTCTGAATGGGCCTATATATCGTGGGTTAAGTTTTCCTCGGGTTTGGAACCGAATGATCCCTTTCCAAGGAGAAACTTTCAAGAATACCTCGTCATCAACCTTAAACTCTAAGGTTCTTCGACGCTTATCTGCATAACTCTTTTGTCTATCCTGAGCCGCCTTGAGTCTCTCTCGAATCAACTTCACCTTTGATTTGGTGACCTCAACCAACTCAGTACCCTCGAGTTTGGCCATGCCAACCTCGTCCCAGCATAACGGTGTACGACACCTTCTCCCATACAATGCCTCGTATGGAGGCATGCCGATGCTTGCCTGATAACTGTTGTTATAGGCAAACTCCACAAGTGCTAAGTGGTTGTCCCAACTTCCTTGGAACTCCAATGCACAAGCCCTCAACATGTCTTCCAAGATCTGTATGACTCTTTCAGACTGTCCATCCGTCTGTGGGTGGAAAGCAGTACTGAACTTCAACCTCGTTCCCATAGACTCCTGAAATTTCGGCCAAAAACGTGATGTGAATCGTGGGTCTCTATCGGATACAATGGTCACTGGGACCCCATGCAGCCTCACGATCTCATCCGTATACAATTTGGCTAACCTCTCAAGTGGGTAGGTAGTGTTGATAGGCAAGAAGTGTGCACTCTTTGTGAGCCTATCCACAACGACCCAAACTGCATCATAGTTCCTGATTGTCCGTGGTAAACCTACCACGAAATCCATAGTCACGTGTTCCCACTTCCATTCAGGAATGGAAAGTGGCTGCAATAAGCCTGCTGGATGCTGATGTTCCGCCTTAACTTGTTGACAAGTAAGGCATCGACTAATGTATTCGGCTATTTCCCTCTTCATCCCAGACCACCAGTAACTTTCTTTCAAGTCACGGTACATTTTCGTGCCCCCCGGGTGCATGGCATACGCCGATGAATGAGCCTCCTCTAAGATGGACTTTCGGAGCTCCTCATCTGCCGGTACACACACTCGGTCACGAAATAATAAGAGACCGTCATCTCTTTCTCTGAAGTCCTCCACCGGTCCCGCTTGCATGCGTTCCCGGATCTTCATAATTTCTTCGTCGGTTTCCTGACCCTTCTTGATCTCATCAAGTAAAGTAGGTCTCACCTCAAATCGTGCCAATAAGGCACCATCGCTGGATACCTCCAGTTGGGCTCTTAATGCCCTCAAATTAGCTAGCAATGCCCCAGACGAGCTCTTCCGGCTCAAAGCATCTGCCACCACATTTGCCTTGCCTGGGTGGTACTCTATCACTAGATGGTAGTCTTTTATCAGCTCCATCCACCGTCTCTGTCTCATGTTTAGCTCTTTCTGAGTAAACACGTACTTCAAGCTCTTGTGATCAGTGTATATGTGACATGTCTCCCCGTAGAGATAATGTCTCCATATCTTCAGTGCAAACACCACTGCTCCCAGCTCCAGATCATGGGTAGGATAATTTACCTCATGCTTCTTCAACTGTCGTGAAGCATAGGCAATTACCCTCCCTTCCTGCATCAACACACACCCAAACCCTTGGATGCTCGCGTCGCTATAGACATCGTACCCCACACCCTGTTTGGGTAATGCAAGTACCGGTGCCTCGGTCAATCTCTTCTTTAGTTCGATGAATCCTTTCTCACATTTGTCATCCCATATAAACTTAGCTCCCTTTCGAGTGAGCTTCGTCAACGGCGACGCCAAAACAGAGAACTTTTCCACGAACTTTCTGTAATAGCCCGCCAATCCAAGGAAACTACGGATCTCCTTGACATTCCTTGGTCTCTCCCATTCGGTAATGGCCTCTATCTTCTTATTATCAACAGCAATTCCCGATCCCGAAACCACATGCCCGAGAAAGCCAATTTCCTTTAGCCAAAATTCACATTTAGAAAATTTGGCATAAAGTTGCTTCTCCCGTAGTGTCTCAAGAACGAGTATCAAGTGCTCTTCATGCTCTTCCTCACTCTTTGAGTAAATCAAAATGTCGTCTATGAACACAATCACGAATCGATCCAAGTATTTATGGAATACTCGGTTCATCAAGTCCATGAATGCCGCTGGGGCGTTTGTCAACCCAAACGACATAACAAGGAACTCAAAATGTCCATACCTTGTGCGGAAAGCACTCTTTGGTATGTCGTCTTCCTTAATCTTCAATTGATGGTAACCCGACCTCAAATCGATCTTTGAAAACACGGTTGCCCCTCGTAGTTGGTCAAACAAGTCATCAATTCTAGGCAAAGGATACCTATTCTTGATTGTGACCTTGTTCAGTTGACGATAGTCAATACACATTCGAAGTGTCCCATCTTTCTTTTTCACAAAAAGAACTGGTGCTCCCCACGGGGAGTGGCTTGGTCTAATGAAACCGTTATCCAAAAGCTCTTGCAATTGGGTTTTCAACTCGTTAAGTTCAGCGGGTGCCATACGGTATGGCGGTATGGAGATTGGTTTGGTGCCGGGCTCGACCTCGATCACGAACTCAATCTCCCTATCGGGTGGAAGTCCCGGTAAGTCTTTAGGAAAGACGTCCCGATACTTGCATACTACCCTAACATCATCAATGCTCGTATCTTCTTTGGTTTTGTCCACCACATACGCTAGATATGCGTGACACCCCTTCCTCATCATATTCTTAGCCCTCACGGCGGATATGATACAACTATTGGATTTTGCCCTATCCCCCTCGAAGCGTAAGGTTACCCCTTCATTGCCTTCGAGTTCAAGTACTTTCGTGTAACAATCGACCCTAGCATGATGCTTCTCAAGCCAATCCATCCCCAGGATTGCATCGAACTCAATCATACTCAGCGGCACGAAATCACACGACAAGTTTTGGCCCTCCACTTCCACCTCACACGATGGATAGTGGCTATCTCTCTCGATGTCTTCCCCTAGGGGTGTGGATACCAATAGGGCTTGAGCCATCGGTACCAGGGGTGCGTTGAATCCCCCGGCGAATGCCTCACTCACAAATGATCGTTGCGCCCCGGTATCGATGAGGATTCTCGCACATCTCCCATTAATCTTTAGTGTTCCTACATTTATAAACCATGTAAGATACCTCTCTAACATACCGACCAATCCTACGAAGAACATAATGCGAAATCATGTCCTTAAAGTGGGCAAAATCCCCCAATTATGGTTGACGTTCGCAGTTGAGATATAGATTGACACTGTCTCACCGTTTTGATCATATCTCTTCACATACTTAACCAAATCGTTCGATTCAAATTCCATCATTTAGACAATGAAAATATCTACAACTTTCATGAAGACAACTTTTTCATTTGACGAACACTTCGAGGTGTACCCGGTCGGGTAACATACTATACCCGATCGGGTATAAGTTCCAGTGGGTTCGGGCAGAATTTTTTTGACAAACCCGGTCGGGTTTACCACCATACCCGGTCGGGTATGTGTTCCAGAAAGTGTCTGGAAGATATTTTTGACAAACCCGGTCGGGTATACCACCATACCCGGTCGGGTATGTGTTCCAGAAGGTGTCGGGCAGAAATTTTTGACAAACCCGGTCGGGTATACCACCATACCCGGTCGGGTATGTGTTCCAGTGGACTTATGAGTGCAAAAACTTGTCCTACCCGGTCGGGTTCATTACCAAACCCGATCGGGTATACGATCCAGAAGGTTTACGAGGGCAAAAACTCGTCCCACCCGGTAGGGTTTATGGCCCTACCCGATCGGGTAGTAGCATGGTTTTGCTCTCCTTTCCCATTTCAATCTTACGTCTGCTCCCACCTGGATTCTAGGATTTATAACTTCAATTTATGGACTAATTAAGGATAAAACACTAGTATACGAGAGGCAA